TGGGCCGCTCGGTGGCCGCCGGTCGGTGCCCGTCCCGGGCTGCTCCCCCGCCGGAGCGGTCTGCCATCGTCGGTCTTTCCGACAGTCACCGCCCGGCCCAGGGCTTTCCGCGGCTCTGCCCTCCTCCCCGCCGGTCATCAGCTACACAAAAGGCTTTCACCTTTTGCGGCCCTTAATTCACACAAAGAAACTTCGTAGCACAGTCAGGGCCCAGTCTCCATCCTCAGGCATTTATTTTAAGAAGCAGAATACCGTGTCCGCATGCAAGAATTTATTGATTTTTCTCTCTTGATTGTTTTTGAGTAAGAAAAAAAAAAGTTTGGTTTTTTTTAATGACTTACAAAAATTAGCTGAAGATATTTCCATAAGTAATTTTGAAGGCCAATTAATGCCAGATAGATCCCAGTGGGCAGGTCTGTGGAACAGAGGAAGTTTTGCAGAGATCTAGTCAGCAGCACAGTGCTGAATGGAAAAAGCAGATGCATTTGCCAGTTTTCTGATGGCTCTCGCTGTTCCCCCACATAACATCTGATCTCAGTGAGATGAATGTCCCTCTATTCCCACACGCAGGCAGGTGGGTAAGTTTGTGTGCTCCGTCGTTCGCTTAGTCTCCTAGCCAAAGCAATCCCAATATTATTCCTTCTCCTCTTAACAAATCTCGGGCAAAAGGTTTGCTGTAAGCTCTGCGTACTGACGTGCACTGCAGGAGAAAACGCTGACCAAACCTGTCGCAGCCACCTTGAACAGAAGAAATTAAGCGTAGGGCATAAAATTGTGGATGGGACTCATACAAAACATTTGTAGGAATAAATTTTCCCACTTTCAATATTTCAGCAGCTTGCAGGAGAGAACTTACACTTATTAAATGTCTTCACAACAGCTTTCATGTTAGAGAAGGACTGAAAGCTTTTGTTTTTTTCAGTTTTCCTCGTGGCAATAAAGTTGAAATGTAGCAGCTCTTCAAAACGGAGCTTCTCATAGAAGTTGTAACCACAGGTCTTAACTTTTCATCACTTAAATATTGAACAGAACCATTGTGAATGTGGGTGAGGGAAGGAGGGGACACATGTGGTGTGTATCAAGCATCAGTGTAAATCAGAAAGGTGTGGTAAAAGGGATTTCCTGCCTGGAAGCAAAGCTTTCATATTTCTTAAGATCTGTTTGCAAACTCCAGGGCTAGAGTTGCTGGTAGCTTGCATCTTTTTGTGCTGAGGCTGCATTGAGCGCTTCACTAGAGGGATCCAGTTCTCCAAAATGAAATCCTGATGCCACTGCGACTCTGCCCTGCTGTGCTGGGTCTGAGCAGCCATCTTCTCCTTTCGGAGCACTGATCTGGTTTTCGTTGCCTCATCTGTGGCTCACCCAGGACCTGCTGGGGATCAGGGCATGCACAAACGTGCAAGCAGATGCCCTTGCTGCGAAGAACTTACAGTCTGAGCAGACAGCACAGAAAAAAGAAGGCAATCAGCACCTGAGCATGGGAGAAGCCAGCAAGCATCCCGCTAGGTACTCTTCCTCCTCCCCAAGTTATCTGGGGTGGTTGGGGTTGTTTTCCATGTCTGTGGGCTTTTGTATGTCCAGCATCTACTTTCTGAAATTTCTGGTCTAAGCTGTAGTGGCACAAGAGTGGGGAAGAAGCTGGGGGGCTCGACTCGTTAAAAAAGTCAGAAAATAATTAAAAGAGAAATCAGCTAATTTCTAAGTCTTGTGCATCACCTTAGTAATTTTTAGTGATGTGACAAGTGATAGGTCGGTTGTTGTCTGCTTTGAGTGTTTGTCTTTTTGTCTCTTCACCCTGCGGCTGCCACAGGCTCACCCCAGTGCCTGGGCTCTCTTTGCAGCCCCCCTGCGTGTTCCCATGCCTTGTGTTCCCATGTGGCCTGCTCATAGACGGGGAGGGAAGGGCACATCTTATGTTCCTCTCAGCTGTAGCAGCTCAACGGGACGAAGGGCACGTGTACAAGACTGCTCAGAGAACTGCAGTTACTCTGTGAGTGGTGTTCACATCACACTGGACTCCTCTGCGTTCTCACAGGCCACCCCTGTGTGGCCAGCTCAGGCATTCAGATGGGCAGCAGCAGCAACAGGATTGCTTTGCAGCATCCTTCATGGATTCCCTGCCCTGTGACAATGCCTGCTGGAGTTTGCATGAATCTCTGTGTGGAGATCTTTGCGCTGTAAACCCCATTCTGCTACCCCATTGCCCTCCAGACCGGGTATTCCTCATTGCTGCCTTTGATGGTCTTTTCTGTCTCTGTAGTGCTCCACCTTCCTGATGATCAAACGTCCTCAGAGGTTCACTCTACCCTTTCGCCTCTGTTTAAAATTATTTTTTTTTCCCTTTCGAACTGTTACAGCCATGCATACCTCCACCTTCTGAAAATTGCTTTTACTGAGACCTGCCTTTGGGTTCACCAGACCATCTTTTTCCTCTCATTTCTTCCACAGAGAGCATGGGTGTTCTCCGAGGGTTATAGTAGTTGCTTTTGACTTGTATCTAAAATGTGCTTCTTTTTCCTGAAATAAGGTGTTTCCTTTCGGCTTCAGGGTCATTCTTTTCTTGTACAAATTCTTCCTGGAAGTGCAAACCTGGAAGTATTGTGTAATACCGGGTGTGCACGGCATCTTTCCTTTGTAACTCTGAACAGCCTCACCCCAGTCCAGACCAGTCATGTTTGGGCAGTCAAGGTAACAAAGTGGTGAGTGATCTGTGGTGGCAGCTTGCGATGCCCACGAAGAGGGTGCGTGTGGCAACTTGTTTCAGCACCGCACATAAAGCTGGCACAGCAGTTTCATCACCTGGTGGCAGATTTGTCCGTACCTGACAGAGCAACTTGTAAAAGCGATTGCCTATGATGAATGGTTTAGGTGAGCTGTGGGGTGTGCAGACCCTGTTGATGGTAGCATGGCTATATGTACCCCCTGCACCTTGCTAAATATTAGAAGGTCATCTAAGTAATCAGTTATATTAACGCCCCCGTCTGTAGTGCACACCAAGGGGCTGCCATCCCGTGCAGCCCCTGCTTTGCATGGTCAGTCCTGGAGTCGCCCCTATTTGGATATGGCATTGGCCAGCCTCAGGTCTGTCAGAAACAGAAAACCAGTTTAGTGTATGTCAAGCTCTGTGGAACGGGGAGGTGGGGCTGTGCCAGAGACTTCTTGACGTTTGGTGATCAAGAGGTGTAACATTTTTAGCCTGAGAGACTTTTCTCTCCCTTAAATGGTGTTTCTCTCTTTGTGGCCTGCTGAGTTGGTTTTTCCTCACCAGCTGTGCTGAGGGTTGTGCTTTGTTATACAGAGATGTGTTTCTCTCCTGCCATAGGCACACATCTCATCACTGGGCAGGTACCAAGATGTAAGGTCTCATGCTCAAGTCTATGTAGTAGACCTTTCTTCTCCTTTTGCTGTTGGATCGTCTACCAAGCAGTCTCTTTCGCCTGTCCTTTCAACTGACTCGCGTGTGAGAAGCATCTGAAGAACAGGACAATAAGAAATATTGGTCTGCAGGAAAACAGGCTTGAGGATCTCCTTTTTGGAGCAAACGCACAGGGCTGCCTGTTTGCTCAGGCTATAGTTGCTGGTACAAAACCTCTTCTGAAGCTGGGTTTGCTAAAACCTGACTCACGTGCTGCCCTGCAGCTTGGTGTTGGAGTGTTATGTGTGGTGTGGAGACATGGTGTTGGTTCAGCAAGGGATGCTGCAGGTGCTATCTCGGTGCCTGAACCCAGAGCCCATTTTGGAAGCTCCCTGCTGGTGCTAGAGCATGAGTCTGGTGGGTTAATGTGGAACTTCCTCATGCGCAGGGTCGTCCTCAACTGCCTCTCACCTTGAAGCCACGCTCATCAGCTTTGGACAACCCATGGTGGCATAAACATTGCTTAGAGTTTCCCCCTGTGCCTATGTGCTTTGAAGGAAAACTCATGGGAAAAGGAGAGCTTGTAGCTGGAGTTCTTCGAGATGTGTTGGTCCAAGCCTATGGCTTCTCTGTCCTGTCCCTCAGGCTTTGTGTAGCCTATTGGGATTGTATGGCTGAGAAGAGACCAAAGGACATTTACCACACACCGCCAGTATGTCCCTGTGTGGACCATGGGAGGGAGAGGGGAAGGGGAGCACATATGCATGCTGTAGGTAGTGCGTCAGAAAAGTTTCTGAGCTGAAGTGCATATGGACAACACATTTCAAAAATGCTCTCTTAATTGCTGGTAAGTTACTTCCTTCTATTTTATCTCCTTTTTTGGAGAGGATACTGGGTATCTGGAAAAATGGCCAATTACCACAGGAAAAAAAAAAAAGGAAAAAGACATGTTTCTTATGCCTTCCATACTAGTTGGGAGATTTTGTCGTCTAGCGTGGGAAACTTCACATTATGCTGTGTAATCCTGGCATAGGTTTTGTGGGCGTCGTTTCAGTCTGGGAATCCATTCCTTCAGATGCCTTCGGGTACCTGGCGCTGCAGCTGAACCGCGAGATTTGTGCAGCACTGGGAACGCCGTTTCACCATAGCTCAGCCTGTATTTCACAGGCGGCTGCTAGGATGCCGTGCTTTTAGAGGATGTGCCAGGCTCTTAGGGATCAAGTGGAAAGGAAGATAATAAACTGCTAAACGACCTGAGGATTCCTTGATAGATGTGTGTGGTTGTTACGGGGGCTGGAGCTGACCTCAGCCAAGGCTGCTGCTCCCACTCTTCTGCCCCTTCTGGCATGTTCCTGCCCTCTCCCATTCCTGGAGCCTGAGTTTATGTGGTAAGTCAGTTCAGGGAGCTCAGCTAGCCAAAAACCTGATGGTGGAGACGCGATTGCTCTTCAGCTTGTTCAGCCGCCTGAAGGGATTAATGGTGCGTGACCAGGGAGGTGTAGAGGACAGTGCTGGGAAAGGAAAGCCTGCAGAGAAAGGTAGGACTGCAGCAGCCTCAGCCTTGGTCAGATTAAATCCTACAAAACTGTGTCTTGAAGGTGGTGAAGCTCATCTCTTGGTTCTCTGCCACCAAAAGGGATAGTCCCTGTGCCTGCCTTCTTTTTGCTTTGTGCTGTGTCCTCCTGCTGCGTCCCTTGTGTTGGCTCTGGCACATTTCTGATCCTCTGCTAAGCCAGCAGTAAACTAATTCAGGAAAGGAAAAAAAAAAAGGCAACTGTTTTACTGTGAATGTAGTGAGCAGGATGATGAGGGTCGTCGTGGGGTATGAGGATACCAGAGGCAGAGCGAGAGAGGGTTGTTGCCATGTGGCTGGGACTGCCCCTTGGCTCCGCCAGCTCATAAAACTTTGCAGCAGGTGTTTCTGAATGAAGAACCATCCTGTTCTCCCAGCAAAAATGAGCAAACAAGTTTTCCTCTATTCAAGGAATCACCTTCTGTTTCTGGTCACTCAGAGCCTCTTTTTTTTTTTTTTATATATTTTTTTTGGTCTGTCTAAGTGTCCCTTTACAGTTCAGGCATCTGTCTGAGCTTGCAGAGGAAACTGCTGTTTTTTCACCCTCCGAGCATTTAAAACGCAGCCCCTTTGGGAGGGCTGCAGCACTGCAGACATTGCAAGCGCTCGGTCCCCAAGATGGGTAGATCCTCTGATGTCCTTCGGTCTTCTGGGATTTGCCAGACCTGGCTGCTCCGCGCCTTGATGTGAGCTCCGAGGCAGCCCTCCTGCTCTCTAGTTCCCAGGGACCACAACTGCAGGGAAGGAGCTGCAACCTGCGCTGCCTGGCAGGGATTTCTGTGGAAGGAGCTCCAGTGCTTAGTTGTTTCCTCAGAAATTAAAAAAAAAAAAAAAAAGAGGCTGTAGAAATCACCTTACACAAAGTGAGGGAGGTACTGCCTGTGCGGGAGATAATTCCAAAGATTGCCTGTTTATCTCAATTTTTTTTCTTCTTAAATTTCAAGCTGTTAAAATCATGCATGAAAATTGCTTTAATAACTGCAGGAAATGGCACAATCAGGCAATTAGATCCTGATTTGTTAGCTATTTGCTGGTGTATGGGTGAGATGAAAGATTTCTGTTGTTATATGTTTGATCCTTTATAATAAACATCCTAAATTCTGTAAAAAACATGACATATTTTTTCTAGTTCCACACTTTCTATGCTGCATCTTCTTCTTATGAATTAACAGTGATTCATACAAAGTTACATGCACGGGGGAAACGCATGTGACTTTTCATATACATCTATAGGTTCTAAATTATCAGTTGCTACTCAGGGAAGATGTTTTGAATTTATTGTGGATTGGTCACCGAATACATTTAGGGAAGTAAAAAGGGAATCCAATGTTAGGAATATTGGAAAAGAATTGGAGAAACTCATTGAGAACATTCTTATGCTGTAAGCAAAGTAGGTGATGACACACTAATCAGTGTAAAGAATATAGATGTGTAGAATAGGGGGATGGAAGTGATCAAAGTCACAGCTTTCGGTTGTAGAGATCAGGGTTGGTTTTTTTTTCAGCTTGGAAAAAATGACTGAGAATTTGATAAATGCTGTGAACTCAGTGGCACACAGAGAAGACAATTTGGGAATGATTATTTCCTTGTTTTCATGACACGAGAAATAGGGAGCATCCAGTGGGATTATTACATATATAACAAACAAATATGATTTTTTTTTTTTTAAATATATATCTAACGGGGAATAACTCGTGGAACTCATTGTCAGGGAATTTTTCCCAGCTAAAAGAAAGGAATGTTACTAATGTGTCAGAAATTTGCCTATTGAAGACAGACATGGTGAGGACGCAGTTTCTGGCTTGAGAAATCTTCAGGCTTTCTAAATAGAAGTTGTGTTCCCAATTTCACAGTCACTGGGCATTTTGTAATAATTTCGGCAGACTAATCTGGTTTTGAAAGCATTTTTAAATGTGTTTCTTTTAAAAAGTAGGTATTTTACAAGTTTGGCAACCTGCAATTCGTAACAGTTTTTGCTTGCTGGTGACCCATTAAACATTCCTTTAACTTCTGCACTAACACTATTTTCTAATATTCCAATTTTTTAGTAAGAATATTCATTTTTTGTGAACATAAAATAGTTGTGGGTTGTTTTGGGTTTTGTTTTGTTTTGGTTTTTTTTTTCCCCTTTTAAATTCACTTTCTAAGACTGGAAAGCTGAAGCAAACAGTCCCATTAGGAGGATGGGCAAACTCAGCTTGTTCTGGTGCCGCGGCAGTGGTGGCTGTGGCTTTTGCTGGAGTGGCGATGGCTGTGGGTAGTACGCTCTCTCACGCGCACACAGAAAGATGAGTTACTTCTCCTCTTCACCCTTCCGTCACACATCCCGTTGACCACAACCATATCCCTCTGTCCTAACCACATAAACCTGAGTCTGTTCCCTCCTTCTCCCATCTTCCAGCTGATCAGCTGCAATAGCCCTTGTCTGCTCCACGACTCCAGTGACTCCTGGAAGGGAATTGCCTATGGGCAGATGGTGGCATGAGCCACGGGAGGGGCCCTTGCCCACAGGCCGTGCTGATGCTGTGTAAATTCCCATGTGCAGAAGCTCACCCTGTGGGTCAGGGAAACCCTGACATCAGGCATCTGGGAGCTGTCTGCATGTGCTCTGTGCCATCCTGGAGGTTTTGGAGCTTGGGAGCTCTCTGATCTGGTACTGGCACGGTGGGAAATGGTTAGTGCGACCCCTTGGTGCAGGTGACTCACAGAAAGGGACTGCTAGAGCTCAGCCAGTCCCGGGGTGGCTGTCTTGCCCTGGGATGGGATTGCTGTGCCCGTGTCACTCCTGAGGGGTGTTTTCTAACTTGTTCTTCAAAGTTTCCGTCGGTAGATTGGGTGACCTCCATAGGCGGCATGTGTATCGGCTCTGGAGATGTACGGGTCCCAACGCGGGACAGAGAAATGTGCAGGCACTCAGAAACACAACGCAGCCTTTGGCAAAGCAGCATCCTCTGTCCCGGGTTGGCAGCCTGGCGAGGGGCGAGCTCCTGCGGGAGCCCGGCATCCCAGCCGCTCCCGGCCGGTGGGAGGCAGGCCGGGGATGGGGGGCGAGGGAGGGGG